CACACACACACACACACACACACACACACACACACACACACACACACACACGCACACGCACACATACACTTACTTACTTTAGGCCCTCTCTGTTATTAGGGCTGTTATGCTGCCGAATGACACCTCCAAGAAAATGTTGGAAGCAGGAGCCCTTTTAGTTCAATGCATTTGCATATGTTGGGGATGAAATTCCAATCAAATTTGTTCAATCGAAAAGCCGTGGTTAGGTTCATGCCACTTCATGGTGAACACAACCTTTCAGCCGTTAGAACTTAGAACCGTTCTTTATTCTAAACATTTGGGACTAGGAATTAATTATTCATTTTTTCTCACTTCCTCGCCATTGTGGATGTGCATATGAAATGTCGTTGTCCATTTGCAGCCAAGAAAAAGGAAATCTGTTTCAAAAGGCTGCTGAAGTGATGCTGAAGAAACTGAAGCACTTAGTAAGCGAAGTAAAGGTCGACCTGGATCGGCTTCAAGACTCCATCCCCACTGCTCTCGCAGGACACTATGGTGAGTCACTTTACGACACCTCATGCTTGTTTTTCTATTTGTGTCCACTTCCTTTCTTCCTCTCCTCATCCTCCTCCTCCTCCTCCTCCTCTTCCTACACACTATTGTCGTTGAGATCGTTGTTGCTGTGTTGTTGTCATTGTCTAATCCTCTTTTCTTCCGTTCTGCTTAATTCATCCTCCAAATCTCGCTCAAATCTCCACCTTCTCATGTCCCACCCCAAGTGCCCGGGCCACACTGGTGCTATTTGCGTACTGATAGAGAAAGGGCGGATTAAGCCGAGTTCCTCACCGTATGGTGCACCGGTCTTGTTTGTGCCAAAGAAAGAGGGCGATCTGCGCATGTGTATAGACTATAGGTGTCTCAATGCGATAACGGTAAAGAATGCTGAGCCATTACCATGTATAGATGACCTTCTGGGTATAGTGCAGAGTTGTAGGTATTTCTCGAAGATAGACCTGAAATCGGGCTACCATCAGATTGAGGTACTGCCCGAGGGTCAGCACAAGACGGCCTATAGAACTCGATATGGCCACTACGAGTTTGTGGTCATGGCCCTTGGGTTGACTAATGCCCCTACTACCTTCCAGCGTTGTATGAATGAACTCTTCCGTGACTGCTGGATAAATTCGTCGTTGTTTGTTAGGACTGGCTAATTCCAAAGTGCAAATTCAAAAGGAAATACAAGGCCACTCAATTGCAAAAGAAATGAAAGCACTCGCAAAGAGATAGAGACCCAAGAAGAAGAAAGAAGAAGAAAGAAAGAAGAAGAAAGAAAGAAGAAGAAAGAAAGAAGAAGAAGAAGATGTACACCAGCAAGACCAATGACAAATCCCCCCTTCTCTCTCCACCCTCCTCCTCCTCCTTATCTCCACCAATCTTATTCTTCACCAAATAATAATAATAACAATGAATTGTTGAGCCAGAACCAATATCCGAAGTTCCCTCTTACTGCCAGCACAACAAGAGGTCCACCATAGCTACGGCCTCCCTCTTCTTCCACTTCGAACAGGCGTAGGCTATGCCGGACTACTAAGGGCCTTGCCCTGACATTCAAAAGACAACGCAAAAGCAGCTATGCCCACTGCTCTTCCGGCCACCATGCCTGACTCTGCCTTGAAGCCTTTTTGGTGCAGTGCTACCCCAACTGGGGCCTTCCAGATGCACCGCCTAACAAGGTGATGAAGATGGCATCCACAATAGCCAGGTAAGTACCCAGCCACTCTCCTCCTTCGCCCCCTTCTTCCTCCTCCTCCAGCCGAGCTTCTCACCATAGCCAGTCAGAGCGCCCAGCTCTCCTTCTTCCTCCCCAGCAGAGCCTCCTTCTTCCTCCCCAGCAGCGCTCTGGGAACCAGCGCCCGCTCAAGTAGTGTGAAGCCATAGCCCAAATGAGGTAGAGCCCAGCGCTCTACCTGGAGACATAGCAGCCAACGAGCCCCTTGGGCGGTGACTTCCACGCTGCACGGCCTCCAAGCAACCGGTACCTCCTCCCTTTCGGAGGCAAACACCATTGCAGGCTCTGATATTGTCCAGACATGCCCTAGACGCAGACTACCTGGACTGGTACCCGCCCAGATCTAGGCCTACCGCTACCGGGCCTCTAAAAGTACTAACTTTTTGCCTTCTTCTGCTAGGCCTACTGCCTACTGCTGCTTGAGTGGTACCGGCCTAGCCTACCCACTACTTGAGTGTCTTTCCCTGCTGCCCTACGTGCCGCGGTTACTACCCGCTACTCGAGTGTTTTTCCCTGCTGCAACCCTCAACATCACGGCCACAGGTAAGTACCGGCCCCGTGGGCCTCTCAAACACACAAGTGCCCTGGCGGGCCACACACACACACAAAGCACTCAGGCATCCCGACAAACACACGGAAACCAGCAAACACGCTGACACACAGACTTAGGAATCTCAGCAAACAGTGGGAATCTCAGCAGATGCACAATCCAGCGGAAAAACTCAGAAATCAGCACAGTTCTCAGTCTGTGATTTTGCAGGTCATTACACAGGGAGGTTTCCATTCATATGCTGATCAGGGTTGCCACCAGTGCTTGTCGGGTGTATCTTTGGTGTCCTGAAGTTGGCCCCTTTTTTCCACTTCTTTCTGTTTTGGATGGCCGACTCTTGTTCATCATCCAGTGGTATCCTTGTATACCTGGGTCGCAAGGCATGTAGCAAGGCAACCAAGGTAGCATCTACAAGGCAAGCAAGCGGGTAGATCGACAGTGGGGCAAGGGATGCAAGCAGGCAGCCAAGCAGCAATGCCAAGCAACAGAGCAGCAAGGCAGTAGTGGACAGGGCACCAAGCAACAGGGCAGCACGTACAATGCAGTCCACACACACAGTATAGACCAAAGCTGGCCATCGCTTACACCATAGGTAGAACAGTACGGACTGTACGTTCAAAGCACAATCAAGAGTGATGGCATCTTTGACAAATGTCCGTCACCGCCAGGGAACACGGACACATGCATTCCAAACCAGCAGTTTTGTTAGCGCGTGGTTGCATACAACTAAGATTCACTCCTGCCTCGGACACTCTTTAGAGTCTTTTACAGAATTCTAATAGTAAAAATATACTTTGTCGCTCTTCAAAAATGTGTGTGTGGGTATGTGCCTATTTGTTTGCACATTTGTAGACAGGCAAACCTCCAGTCTGCCTTCATTGTGAGAGCATGGGAATGTTTGGATGCGTGAGTCACTCTGTCATCGACAAAAGGGATCTGCTCAATTTTCATCCCTGTTTTGCAACCGTAGAGTCTAGACACTTTTTTGTCAGATTCTGTTCCTTGAGACATCTGTTAAACAACTTAAACTTGAAAGGTTGCAGAGATGATCAGCATTGCCCTTGTGCATGCAAGGATGGAAAGTTGGAAACGGACAAATTGCCAGGTGGACTGAGGTGGTTCAATATTTTTTTAGCATTTTAATATTTAAACTATTTTTACTACATTTTGAGGTGGTAACTGGTGGTCCAAATTTTTATGGTTGCTTTATGTTATGTGCAGGATGCTTCTTCGATCGGCCAGTTACAAGCTTCGATAAGCGGAAGCGAGACAAAGCAATCATGCGAGTCCGGGCAATTGCAGAGAGCATTTCACAGATATGCACAGACGCAGATGTGAAGGTGGACTTCAGGGGTAAAAGCCTAGATTTTCCCGCCTCACGGAAAATGTCAGGGTGCACCTCTGGTGAGGAATCATGACTTTCAGCTCCACTTACCTGTCAACACTGTCAATATATGATTGCTTGAAATGTCTGGCATTCAAGGGGAAACTTGCACGGCAGGTCTTCGATTGCAAACAGCAACTAAAAGTTCTAGTGATACGTGGTTCTGATTCACTTGTCGCAAGCGACCGTTCCTGGTCGCCTGCCCACCAAGGGAAAGAAGGCGATGGAGAAGAATAGAAAGTACACAAAGGGAAGAAGGATGAAGAGCGTCATGGGTGCAATGCTTTGGGACATCCGTCTGCAACGGGAATGAAACTGATAATATTTTTAGCGTAGCCCCAGCAGACACAAGTCGAGAAATGGGCCAAGTTTGACAAAGAGAGAGAGAGAGAGAGAGAGAGAGAGAGAGAGAGAGAGAGAGAGAGAGAGAGAGAGAGAGAGAGAGAGAGCATCATGAGTATGGATAACAAGAGGATGGAGAGAATGAATGCAGAGAACTTTGGGCTGTCATATATTGGACTCGTATTGCGTGTAGAAAACAGTTGAGTTGAATACAGTTTTTTAAACTTTTTTTTTTTTTTTTTGGTTGCAAAACCACATTTCTCAAAATCATACCAAGGGGCAGGCCACCCCACATAAAGACCGGATCTGGGAGCCTTACCCAGTGTTATGCTTTTGACGAGACCCGGGAGGGACCTGATTAGTTGATTGGCATTCATTCTATGGTCATAACACTTGCACCCTTTGTTCTTTCACATAAAAGTCCACACGTTGGTTTCACATGTTCGTTTGGTACGTGTCTGATCTGCCTTGTGGCATCTTCTTTGGTATAAGCCAATACATGACGTGAGTCGTCTTTAGCTTTGAGTCATTCTGACATTTTGTTCTTTTTGGCAAATGCCAATACATGATCTGATACATGCGCCGTTTGACCCATTCTGAGTCAGTTTGACTCTCTTCTTTTTGACCAAGGTCCAAGTGTTACCAAACTTGCTGAGAGTTTGACTCGTCGTTGACCAGGATTCCGTGAGCAGTCTCATCTTGACAAGATTTGCCTTAACCTGTTCTTGAGAGGACGTTTGAAAAAAACATGAGTACACTCATGTATGTCCTGGTTCACTCTGGTTAACCAAGAGAAGAACGCTCTCTGGTCCAGCTCAGTTGGTACACCCACGAACTGTTGAAATACAGACCTGAGTTCCGAGTCGAGATGCAAGCAGATGAACGGAGTGAAATAATTCTGAATTACCTGGGGCCGGTCAGTTAGTGATGAAATCCCAAGGGCATCACCCTTTTTTGAAAAAGAAGGAAGGAGAGAGGAGCGCTCACTTGTCTCTCTCCTCGTCTTCTATTGAGAGAAGCCCTCATTGGCTGGAGGACTACAGTAGGCGATGCCCACTGCTCCCTTTGACTTTTTCATTGTCGATTACATTCTATCGGTGTCTATTCAGGTAACGTGTTTCAAGACACGATAACTCCGGGTAGACTACCGTTGTTTGGAGAGTATTTAAAGAGTATGAAGCTAGAGCCTCGAAGCAGACTGAGCAGAGTGAGGTAGAAGGTCTGTTGCATGGGTTCTTCCCATTGCGCACACAATGTGGTTGCTGTGTGAGACTAAAGCCTCGACTATATTGTTTTGAGTATTCATCTCTCTATCTCCCTTTGATGAAGTCAGCCATGCACAAACTCAAGAAACTTCGCTGTGTGTCGGCCAAAAGAAGTAGCCATTGGTATTGTTTTTCCAACAGGATTTGACCTCATGACCTGATTGTTTTGTCTTGAGTTTCAGGGGGAATGGTTCACCTACTAGTAGGTACTTCTGGAGTTGGTGTTGTTCTTGGTCTGGATTCTGCCAGGTTCTGGGCTGGTTTTTGATAGGCATGGAGTGAGGCTTTGCGCTTTGTGTGCTTGTGCCAGGTGTGTTCGTTCTGAAATATCAGTGTTTGAATGACTTTTCGGCGTTTTGGCATTTGTGCATGAGTAGGTGGTGACCTTACCAAAAAACAATCAGGAAGAAATCCTTCTGCAGGTCCGCTGTCGGGAAGGAATGAGATTCCCAGTAATGCTAAAGGTTTCCCAGCTAGTGAGGGACTGCACACGAAGAGAACAGTGTCTGATCTGGGGAAAGAATTACTGGAAGCTGTCATGGCCGATACAAATCGACGCAGCGCAGCGCGTCCTGGAGGCTCAAGTAGAAGTGTGAGCGTCATTGCAGCACGAGCTGCAGATTGGCCGTCACCATCATTCAACCGCAGTCGTGCAGTTGCAAAAGTCCGATCCAGTTGTGGGCTGGGTGGCATCGACACAACCAAGCGCACAGAGTCCAAACAAAAGCGCGCGCAGAGCAGTGTCCAGCATACATTGCACAAGGCCGAAGAGATGCGTCGGCCAATGGACCCTCCTAGGGGTTTGAGTTTGTCTAATATGAAGAGCCGAAGAGGCGAGGAAGAGAGACAGCCAATGAAGTCCCCAGCGCCCAGGAAGGGAGATGAGTCAAACGCTCCCTTGAGCCGCAAGCAGCAGCGGAATGTCCCAGCACGCATCATGACTCACTCCCATAGGAGGGACCTTCCTGGGCCTTCCAAAGAACCTCAGAGGGGCGGCACGATTCTCGAAGCAACACCACCACTGCGTCCCAGCCAAGCCGTCCCTTCTCCCAAACCTTCAGATAAGGAGAAGAGGCCGCGGAAGGAGAAGAGAGAGAAGAGAGAGAAGAAACAGCCTGTTTCGCAGCAACCACCTCCACCTCCATCCAAGAAGCGGAAGCTTGCAAAGGAAGACAACCCTTCACCCATTGTCCTGTCACAGAGGCGGGACAATCCTGCTCCGGAAGCTGTGGGGCCAAAGGCGAAAGCTGGACACAAGAAGAGGTTGATTCCTAACATAGCGCCTGTCGCAGGAAGCAAAATGCAGATACAGAATCGTGTCATTAAGAAGTTTGCTCACGGAAAGCGCCACAAACATAACGATGAAGGGCAGGAGCTGTGCCTTCGCACTCCTTCCAAACCTGTGCTGAAGACGGTTACCACCTATTTTGGGACAACACTGAGTGGCAAAAGACAACCAAGCAGTGACAGAGAGGATGATGATGATGATGATGATGACGATGACACAAGCAGTGATGATAGTGACAAGAGCACAAGTTCGGGCACTGGCAAAGATCAACCTGCAAAGAATGGCAAGGAAAAGGACGAGGAAGAAAATGAGGAGGAGGCGGAGGAGGAGGAGGAGGAAGAGAAGGAAGAAGAAGCCAACAGACGAAAGCGTGCAAAGCGGGGTAGCAATCAAGACAAGGTTGCCACAAAGGCTTTGAAAGGTAAACCTGGGATGTCCAGTTTGAACCTGGAATGTCCAATTTGAACCTGGAATGTCCAACTGCATTAAATCGTCATTATCTGGGTGAGTAATGTGGGTCCGTAATGGTCCTTGAACGGTATCAGTCACTTCTCTGATCGTTTGAGGTATATTCAGATTTGTAACTCACAAGGAATTATTAGCTACCTATGAAGTGCAGGGCCACAGAAACAGAGGCATATGGGCTTCTGATGCTACTGATTTCTTACATAATGATGCTGTTTTCTTCCCGCACCAAACCGTCCGCAATCTCTTTTATGTCGAGGATTATACTCTGGCCCCGTGCTGCAGCGGGACAAATGCACCAACACTCTGCAACCTTCTCCTTTGCACAGCTACAAACAGTGTTACACTCTGCTGTAGCGGCCATTGTCTCCGTCGCACTTGCTACAAGGACGTGGTTTCCGCATCCATGTGTGTAGAGGCGTGTCCTTCCGTTCCTGACTGCAGGCACCCTCCACATCCGGACACTATATGTCCACTTTGCGGCCATGGACGATGTACTGAATGCATGGTCTTTTGTGGTGACCATTCTTCCTTCATGTTGGCTTGCAGTCGACATGCCAATTGTCGGGAGTGTATGCTTTGGGCATGCTCAATGCCAGCCGCCGTGGCAATTGTTGTACTGAGAATGCTCAGCTAGGTCTTCCATGTCTTCATCCACCTCATCCTTACAATGTACGCCCTCTCTGTCGTCAAGGACGGACTGATTCTTGATCCTTTTCTTATCCTCTCCTTTGCTTTCATCTTCATTCCACACTCTTTACTTTCCCTTACTTTCCTGTTCCCGTTCTTTGTTTTGTCTTCTCTCCATCTCTCTTCTCTGTGTTTATCCCCTTCCCCTTTACTCTGCCTCTTTCTCACAGCGCACAAGTGGGCCGTTATGGCACACACGGATGCGGGCAGCTCGCGCTTAACTTCATCAATGAACCTCGGTGAAGGGGGAGTTACAAGGAGAATGAGAAAAATGAATAGTTTCACTGTGCTCTTCATGTTTGTCTTGTGTATGTTTATCGCTTGTTTTGCAAAGTGCGTTCTGCAATAACCCATGCCATATGTCTCGTGGAAAGACTGAGGGCCAACTCGGCCGCCCTCAGCCCAGGAGGAAACGGGGGCAAAAAGGACCCCACACGAGGACTCAGGGCCTGGACGTGTGACAGTTGACTTTGGTCAACTGTCGTGACGCCAACAGTCGAAGTCCAAAGGTACGTAGCCCAGGCCGCTGGTCAAGCACACACACTTGTTTGTATGCAGGTACCCAGACAGCATCAGGTCCAACGGAGAAGTCTGCAACTGTACAATCCGGGCCCTCAGCTGTGAGTCAATCTGGACGACTGTGGGAAAGGCACCCGAGGCCAGACAGCCGCGACAACTGCTACTTAAGGCGGGCCTCGAGTGAGTCAAGCATTCAGTCTTGCTATGCTGCTTTGACGCTGGCTCGACTTTGACTAGACACTGGCATTATGCTGGCTCGACGCTGGCTGTGCACTGGCGGTGCGGACGACGGAGGCAGCATGCTGGCGCTTTCTGCATTGTGCGCCAGGCTTGCGGAGGTGGCATGCTGATGTGGCGCTACCTCTGGTCTACATTGCATGCTGATGTGGTGCTACCTCTGGTCTACATTGCATGCTGATGTGGTGCTACCTCTGGTCTACATTGCATGCTGATGTGGTGCTACCTCTGGTCTAAATTGCATGCTGATGTGGCGCTGCCTCTGGTTTACAGTGCATGCTAATGTGGCGCTACCACTTGTCTACATTGCTGATGTGGTGCTGCCACTGGTCTCCATTGATGATGTGGCATAAGCCACCTGTCTCGACTGCTGACGTGGCATTGTCCACGTTGTCTACATGAGGTGACTGGTTGCGAGGAGGAGGAAGATCGGGATCTGTGGATGAAAGAGATCGGGTACTCACCTGAGGTTGACGTCGTCACTGGAATCTGCTATGTCTTCATGGTCTTCAGACTCTTCACGAGATAAAGTGCCATGCGGCACTATTGTGTGTGATCAGGAATATACTTGTTATCATTGTTGACGTGGAGAGGGAAGGAGCCCGGAGAAGGAGAGGGGTCTGAAGGGATTGTTCTTGTGTGATCTTTCATCTTCTCCTCTGTCTGTTCCCCCTCCACTCTCTTCTTTTAATGGTAATGAGATACCGTTTGAGATATCACTTCACGATTTGGAGACTTTGTTGCAGATAATGAGACTACTGATGTTTGACGACTTCTGAGTATCTGTCAGACCGGGTTCGTTACAGCTCTTTGTGTTCATAGATATGTGACAATATATTGTGCACCTCATCCACTGCCGCCTTCTTGAAAAGCTTCTACACAGACTGACTCCTTGTTTTGCCTCTATGATCTGCTGATTGCAGGAAAGAACCCAGTGAAAGGAGCCGACAAAAAACTGCGGCAATCAAGACGAAAGGTAGGTAACCAGCATGCACCTGCGTAGTGGGTGGATGGTACACACATGTAACTGTCGATGAACAGACCAGGAGTTTCAATCCTGGGCGATAGGACAATACTAGGGGGACACTGGCATGAAGACACCACTCCCTCTCGGTTCAGACCTCAAAAGGCAGATTCACTTTGCCTGGCTCACGCTCCAGGAGTACTCAGACAGGCATGGCAAGCATCTACCAGTGGGAGGATCATTCTCATTGTCATTGTCATCATCATAGTCCTATTCATACACCATCACCCTCGCCAGCATCATTGCAGTCATTATCGTCATCGTCATCATCATCATCATCATCATTATTGTGGTGAAGGTCACCATCACCCTCACCCTCACCCTCACCCTCACCCTCACCATCACGATCACCATAGCCATAGCCATAGTCATCACCATCACTGGCATCATCATCATCATCAGCAGCAGTAGCATCATTGCCGTCGCTGTCGTCATCGTTCTTATCATTGTCATCGTCGGTGCCGCGGTCATCACCGTCACAATGTCACAATCACCGTACTTTGTCCCTCTTGTTGCCTTATTTGCTGTTTCATCGTTACCTTTCTGGTCATCATGTTCATTGTTGTTCCCATCATCCTTGCACTCACTACCGTCGATACCAGGGCCTTCTCTATCACATTCTTCCTGATAAGCTTCATCGTGATTGTTTTTGTTAATCTTCTTTTACTGCAAGTTCTGCAACCTCCTCCTCCTCCTCCTCCTGCTCCTCCTGCTCCTCCTGCTCCTCCTGCTCCTCCTGCTCCTCCTGCTCCTCCTGCTCCTCTCCTTTTTCCTCCTCAACTTACATGTTCTTTTTCTTGAGCTCTTTCTGGAGACTCTGAAGTGAGAAGTTGGAGATTTTCTCATTTTGAGACTTGCCAGGTTGCCAACTGTTTTGTGGATGAACAAATGACATGTATGCAAAAAAGTGTGAGGCCTGTTCTGAGTCAGATGATGAAATATTTGGAATGTGTCATTCACTGCCTGTGGACAGAAACAGCGCCCAGCAGTTGTAGAGAAGATAACCAGTGATGAATCGGAAGCGGAGAGCGACAGTGAGGATGGCAGCGATGACCCAAGCTCAGCAAAAGCCTCAGGTTCTGACGCTCCCAAGAAAGCAGGCAGTGACGTGAACAGTGCTGGAAGTGGCGATGACGAAGATGAGGAACCTGAAAGTGATGAAAGCCCAAAGGTGAAAAAAGCAAAGAGAGCACCGAAGAAGAGGCAGCAGCGTAAAAGTAAAAAAGGGAGGCGAGCGCATGTCAAAGCATGTAAGATGGGAGATGACGATGTCAGAGATGTTGAACCGGGATCCGAGGAGAGTGAAAAAGAAAGCAGTGGCGAGAACTCGTGCGACAGTGTTCGTAAACGGGAACCCGGCGAAGACGAAGTAGACGAGGACGAAAGCGAAGAAGACGATGACGAAGAGGACGATTCATCCTCGTCTTCTTCTTCTGAGACTGAAGACGATAGTGAAGACGAAGAGGGCGAAGAGGTGAACATGCGAAGCCGAGGCAGAAGTATGTTCTTCTGAGAAAATGTTTTGCAGTGGAGTGAGGCCCATAGTCTATCGCACCATGTCAAGGCGGTACAAGTAGTTACGGTGTCTAAAGGGCTCTAAGCTAGAAGCTAACTACCAGAGATAGGCAGAAGGGTTGATGGTTGCGCATCGTGTGACAATTTTACGTAAAGATGTATTCTCTGACGCTTTCTTGACCCAGTACATTGAAAATGTTGTACTTTGTCCGAACTCACGTGGTCCAGAAGGCGTCCAAATGCGTGTAGACTGCTGTGTAGTGGAGCGAAGGCCTACGTCGTCCCCTTCACAGCTACAGGTAAAAGAACCTTATGCTGAAAGCCACAAGCTGGACAGGAAGCGCTCACCTCGCACCATCATTCTTCGCTTTGTGCCCACTGAAGCATCAACACCCGCTGTAGCTATTGATATTGAGCATGGCAAAGGATTGTGTACCTGGACGAGCAACAAACCCGGTGCGCCCTGATATGCCTGGATGTGGTGGATGAAAAGGTACGTTCTTGCCGGGCCATTACTTTTTCTCGGGTTTAAAAACATGCTTCCATGTTGCAGACCGGAGCCTTGTACATCTTTCACCATTGTGATTTATACCAGTAGCCACGTTGAACATGTTATGTACAAGGCAGTGTTCGCGAAACTTCGGTTCTCAGGTTATGGGTTTAGGTGGAACCACCAGTACCTGCGGGCGACAGCAGCATTTGTTTGCCTCCCGGTTCTCTAGGAGGATGCAGCTTTGCTCTGTTGTCGTTGGATAAACAATCCGACGGACATTTTTCTTTCAGCGGTGCATTTCCGGTGCAGCCTTACTTGTGCCTTGGGGTATCAAGGAGAAGTGTGTGCTCCCCGGTACTGCTGGTTTAAACTGCGAGCAAGTTCAGTTGAAGCAGAGTACTGCTCTTGCGGGTTTACCCCAGTGTAAGAGCATTTCGATTCATGCCTGGGCGATAGCGAAAGCGGCGGCAGACCATTCTACCATTCTGAAAATGCGCAGTTGCAGGCTCGCAAGCATTGCAAGGTAGCGTCATCAACTTACGCTCGTGTGAACTGGTGGTTTAAGCCTGAGAGTTCGCGGGAGACTGATGAGCTTCTGGGGTACTGTCACAGCTCTGTGTACAGAGAGTCCTTGCTTGTCTCTATGGTGGAACACAAAGCGATCGAGGGTTTGTATCCAAACGCTGTAAAATTAATAATAGTTCTGCAGCAGCAAAGGCTTATGGAAGTCAATGCTCTCATCTTCTTTGAAGCATGAGAATCTGATTAGATGTGTTGAATAACGTACAATGCGAAGTTCGATCGCGTTAGTTCGGTGATGACTTCTTTTCCCTTTTTTGCATTTGACTTTGCAGTGCTGTTGAGTTTGATGAGGAGCAGATATGAATAGCAGAGCAGGTTTTTTTTTTTTTTTTTTTTTTTTTTTTGCGCAGGCAACAACCCTCGTTGCCATAGGATTGTGCGGTGGATGTTTGTCATGCCAGGGTCTGCTGAACTTTGCCCAGGCAGGAAGTAGGAAAGACGTCTTTCCAAGTGTTTTGTACTATTTCATATTTATTTTACTATTTAATATTTTATTATTTTATAGTATGTGTGCTTTAGGACAATTTTTTTGGGGGGAAGGGAAGGGGTAGTATTTCCAAGTGTTTTGGGAGATGGTCCTTTGCTGGCCTCACGAGTCAGGGAGAGAGTTGTCGTTTTGGCAGTTCGGATTGCAGGCGTTTGAATCGCCCGACTGTCAGTCTGGAACCCTGTCCAAGCAGAAGACAGGGTGGGCGTTTCAGTCTTTTTGTGGAAGGTAGATTGCAGTGTGATGTTTTGTTCTGACGAAAAGCGGGGAAAGTGATGCTGCACGTCATCGACTCATCGCATTTTGAGAAAAAAAGCAATCGATCACAACAGCTCGGAGATCGTCAGTGAAATTTTGTGAAGACCCTTCAAAGGCGTGATACTCGACATGACAGGTATTCATTGATGGACACAGACCCCAGGATCTCCCAATCCGCAGCATTTCCAGATGCCCAGGGATTTCAAAATCCTCAGGACACAAGGCTATGCACCCATGCGGATTTCCTGGAGAGGAAGTAGGAGGAACAGAATGGAATTGGCTATGAGTCGGTTGAGATGGTGGCTAACAGCTTGTTAGTTGTTGACAGACGATAGGTGATTGTTGATATCTTGTTCTCCATACATTTTCCCTCAGAAGTTTGTGTGCTCAGCAAAATGCATAGTATTACGTACTTTTCTCTCAAAGGTAGAAAATGTACGTTTGTTTTTGCAATTCAAGATTCTAGATTGTCTTCAGCTGGCAACTGGTGAGCCTTGAAGGATTATCATCACAGCCATCATCAAAATCAGCAGCATCATTACCACCATGGCCTTGTCTTCCCTCCTTTCTGTTCGACTCCTCTCCTCCTCCTCCTCCTCCTCCGCCGCCGCCGCCGCCGCTGCCGACGCCGACGCCACCGTCGCTGTCGCCTCCTCATCCTTCTTCTTCTTCTTCTTCTTCTTCTTCTTCTTCTTCTTCTTCTTCTTCTTCTTCTTCTTCTCAGTTGGTTGGATCGTATGCTGGTGCTGCAAGTCAGGATCTGGGAAGAAGGGCTCTGAAGGGTGTCAGGTGCGCAGCCTGGCCAAAACGCGCCGGGCAATGTGCGTGAGATGAGTGCATGCGGATTTGTTTGCTCATCTATGGATGCATGTGCGAAAGACAGTGTTCGGTGGCCTCTGTTTATTGCTATTCTTCTTTCTTCTCCTTGAGCATTTGTATGTCGATGCTCAATTCTCTGCCGTCGTGGTGCCTTTCAGCCCCATGTGGATACAATTTCCATGTGAACATGGAAAACCAAGCGAGAAGGTATTTCTGTCACAATAGCCGTATGGGAAGCATGAATCAGGGAAGGTTTCACCACACAGCCATGGGTGGTGGAAGTCATCTGTTGCCAAAGAATCAGCCTTGTCATGGCAGGTGCCATCAGGAAGCAGAAGGAAAGCTCCGGGCTGTTTGTTAGCTCTGAGAGTGCGATGCTCTTGTGCTCCAAACGCTTGGTGGGATGATTGAACGATAAAAACAGAAAGATAGACAGACTGACGGACTGAAAGACTATATAATACCTGCAAATGCAGAGAAGGCAGGAATAGAGACAAACCGCCGGACGGACAGAATGTATGGTACCTGCAAATGCAGGAAGGGAGGAATATCGACAGTCGACGAGGGAAAAAGAAAGGAAAGCCATGGCTGCTGTAGTTGAGGCCAGAGCAGCAAGTTATCGAAATCAAAGAATGACACGCCAACTCGGACAGTTGTGATTTTTTGTAAATAATGAATATAGGAGTGTATATTTAATATTTATGCATGATGCAGTAATCAATGTTGATGTGCACCCGTTTATCGTATCTACGCCAATCCTACGGCTATTGATGATCTACAGCAATCAATTACTGGTGGCCTGCTTTGCTTGCTTCACAATGATCCACGGAAGAAGACCCTGTTGAGTTTGACTTTTGCTTGGACTCTGTGAATTGCCTTGAGAGGTGTAGAATAAGTGGGAACTTTACAGTACAAGTGAAATGCCACCATCACTATTGAGGTGTATGGACATTATGTACAAGGGGGGGAGGAGGGGGGGAGGAGGGGGGGAGGTGGAAGGAAGGGGGTGGGTTGGCCGGTTCTCTCTCTCTCTCTCTCTCTCTCTCTCTCTCTCTCTCTCTCTCTCTCTCTCTCTCTCTCTCTCTCTCTCTCTCTCTGACGCACACACACGGGCTCTCTCTTGATGAAGGCATGTCTGTGGGTGGCCACGAGCGTTTTTGGGGGGAATGCTTGTCTGGAGATATGGCCACGGTATCTTTGTGAGGAGGCTCAGAGAGTCTTTGCTGTGGATGTCACTCCCACGGGCAGCTCTTTTGGAGCACAGGGAAGATGGCGGTGCTTCTATGGTGTCTTAAGCAGTAGTGCTCCTGGTGTTGCGTGGAGATATGTGGAGTTATCTTGTGGTTTTGTGGGCTGGCTCAGCGGGCTCTCCCAATTCTTTTGGACCATTGGGTGGTTTGGTCGGTGCTTCCTTGTTGGTAGAGCCTTCTGTGTTGTGGTGCACTGTGGCTTGTGTAAGGTAATTTTCATGGTTACGCTGGATGCGGATCCGAACACAGGGGGACGTCTGGCTGGACTGAGGCCCGGAAAAATCCGGACCAAAAAAAAAAAAAAAAAAAAAAAAAAAAAGAAACAAAGGAAAAAAAAGAAAAAGAAAACAGGTTACAGAAGGTTTACAGACGGGGTGAATTAAACCGTACCTACCTCAAGGCAATATCCAGCCT